GTCATCAGTATGCATCAGTCATCAGTATGCATCAGTCATCAGTATGCATCAGTCATCAGTATGCATCAGTCATCAGTATGCATCAGTACTGATCAGTATGCATCAGTACTGATCAGTATGCATCAGTACTGATCAGTATGCATTAGTACCTTTAAAATCACACCCTCTCAAGCACTTGAAGAGGGGCCTGGAGGAAGAGGGCAAGGAAGAGGGTAAGGAATAGGGACGTTCCTCTTGAACCGCCAAATGATTATATATAATTGTAATGTCGGTGTAGCGGGCAACTGCTAGCATGTACTGGTCGTAATCGAAAAGTAAATACCGGAATGGAGGGCAGTGAAAGGTCTGGTGCAGCTTATTTTAATACAAGGATTCTGGGCACAAGCAAGTTTCCAATTAAGCATCGGTAACACGTCGAGAAAATAAGCCTAATTTTTTATTATAATAATAGAATTAAAATTTATTATAATAATAGAAATAGAAACCCCCTCTAACGCATTTAAATGTACACACGCACTCACGCATGCCCTCGCTGGGAAGGCAAAAAAATTCTTTAACTAACTGCAAACTTGTTTAACATTCATTTCTTCGTGATATGTTTTCATTCATGTTTTCGTGGTAGTTTTCGTTCTCTATTCATTAATGGAGAATGTAACATAGCAGTGCTAACTAATTTATAATGGAATTTTCAACTTTATTTGAATATGTTCCAATGAATTCATAAACAATATCACCATTTAGATCGCTCCATATATTTTTACAACCATTCATTCTTTGCAAAGTTGATGATTTATTTATAAAGTTGATTTATGCAAAGTTTGTTATGAATGATTTATGCAAGGCTGAATATTGTTCACGACTTCCTGTACGACTTCAAGTTGTAGTAAATGACAATTAAATATTAAAGTGTGCTGATTATGCATTCATTCTCTTCACACTTTAAAACATAATTACGATTATCTCTTCGTAATCTGTACAATAATTTTAGCGCAACCTCCTTTTTATTTGGAAGGAAGAATCCATTACAACAAAAATCGAAGTGGAAAGGAAACCGCTCTGAATAAAGCCTTTATTAATTCAGAACACTGTTCATGGGAACACGCATCGTAGCTTTAAAAATTATATATCTAGATTTTCCTCTTTTATTATCATATGAATCATCCTATTACAATAATTACAATAATAATAATTTGAATCAGTAATTCAGTATGACAGTAAGTCAGTGGGCCGAGTCTGACATTAATATTAAAAAATTATTAAGCGATGTGCAAAGTATTGTTGAGGGCTCCTTTTAATCATGAAATTTTTGTTACAGAAATAGAATGATACGAATTTAAATACATTTCTTAGCAGTTTGTAATGAATTTCTGACATTTAAAATTTCAAGATCGACATGAATGCTCCCATGATTGCATAGTGCCATATAGGTTTGGAATTCAATATGCTATATTATAGCTCATTTAATTCAATAATTTGCATTAAAATAATCGTTCGTGTGGTAGCAAATGGGAAATTTTATATTAAATTGTGCTGTTTATGCATTCATTCTCTCCATATTTTAAAACATTCTTTCGATTAACTCTTCGTAATCATCCTAACGCATGATGCTCATTTACGATCACCTTAACAACATTTTCATATTATTGAAGATGCATGGAAACATGCATTGTTAGTTTAGACCCTTTAAAAGACTCCGCAGCGTCAGACAAGGGCTTTGAAAGCTGATCGAAAGGAACTGCGAAGAGAAGAGGGAGGGAAGAAGGAATGTTTACCTTGAACGAAAGAAGATTTATTGCCACAGCATAGGCTGCGCCTACACCCAGTACGACAATGGCCGGGTCAGGCCTTGCTTAAATCTACGGAATTTTCACTTACCACTAATAATGTCGACTAATATCTAATGCTAAAAGAATGATTCAGAAATGCTTTGTGTAGAGATCAATGAAGAATAAATAGTTAAATTAACTTGTGTCGCGGAAATGTTAGAAAATGTCGTCGCGCTTGAAAAAGTCGCTCATTTTACGATCTTCATATGGTTTAAATTTTTTGTTCGTGATAAAAGTGAAAATACATAGTTTACATAATATATCTTACTGTCCTTTAATTGGAAATAATTAGCCAGATCACCATTCCAAATTTCAGACTTGTATCTTATCTAGGAGGAGAGTTATTGGTTGCCTTCATTGTTAAGAACCCTCATAGGGATTAACGCGCCTGGCGGCCGCTCCACCGGCCTCTTAAAGCTCTACCAAATACACTCGAGCAAAACCAGCGGCCAACTGCACTAGCCAAAAAAACTTAACAATGATAGGATGAGCAATGTTAAAATGAAGAAAATGCAACTCGGTACTCACTGCAGTGAGTAACAGAGAGCGCATTTTCTCGTCGACGAAAACGTGAAGTCACGGACGGGCAGATAGACAGACGGACGGACGGACGGACAAGGTGAGCACAATAGCGCCTTTTTCCATAAATGAGAAAATGCGCTAAAAATTGCCTCTAAAAACTTTTTGGCCAGAAGCAATTTTTTAGGGTATATCATATGGCTCACCCCATGCAGAGAAACGCAACGCGCGTCTCATAGCTTATCACAGGACAGCAGCTGCATAAGACCAAATATGCTAGTTGGATGAATTGCTCACTAAGAAATTGGCAGCATCACCAAGCATCACTTCAATGAATATTCCATCTAAGAAAACGCCCTGAAAAGAACGAAAAAGAAGCGCCTTCATTGTTGTTTTTCCAATTAAAGGCTGACTATTCGAAGCATCAATGAAGCCACTTTTTCTCAATGCAAGTTACCCATACCTTTAAAGAAATGTTTTACCTGAGATCAAACAAGTAACGCTTACCTCTGAATGCCTGTATTACTTGTGATCGAACTCTATATGCTTTGCTGCTTGCAAAAAAACAGGATTTATTCAATTTAATTATTTTTTTGTGATTTATACTAACATAGTAAGAGATTCGGTGGTTTATTCCAGAAGCGCAAATTACGGCATAGAAAAACAGACAAAGTAGTCCACTACCCCAGGCATACTTCTGTGAAGAAGCGTCCGCTACTGCCTGCATCGTACTAAACAGACAGCACTGAAGCAGGGAACAGCATCCCGTTTCGCCTGTTTTTTTTCTCTTTTTAGCGCATTTTCTCATTTATAGAAAAAATACCCTATTGTGCTCGTCATGTCCGTCCGTCTGTCCGTCTGTCTGTCCGTGACTTCATGTTTTTGTCGACGAGAAAATGCGCTCCCTGTCACTCACTGCAAGTACTGAGTTATACTTATTTAGAAACACCCCAAGAAACAGACACACACGAAAAGTCCTAATCTATTTAATTGATATTAAACAATCAATTACCTTTGAAGAACCTTGTGCCCACACAGTATCCATAACCTACTGAAGAAACAAGCGCAGAAGAGGCGCCCTGGGATCGTTTCCACGGAGAGAGGAGAGGCGAGGAGAGACGATCACGCTGTGCCGTAAAAGCTTCAACTTCACAAGAGCCAAACTTTCTGCCGCTATCAAAGAAACAAACTTCGTGCGACTCTTCGAAGTCTCCTAGAAATTGACAGTGGCCCAATTTCGTCTGCGCTTGAAGGTGAAAATTGACACCTGTCACTCGCGAGAATTCTTGACATTTGGAGGAAATGATGAAATGGGAAATTTAGGCCAAGAGACAAATTCTGAAATAACGCAAGTTAATTTTTTTAGCGCTTCAAAATGACAAAACTGATGGCAAAAACGCTGTTAATTATAATTAGTGTGTCTATTGTTGTAAGTGCCGTTTTATCGTCAGTCGTTTCTCATCAGTTCACTGAGATAAAATTTAGTAAATATATAGATCCTTCACTGAAAACCGGATTATAAGGAAAATATGCTACAAAAAATACTTCTTAATTAACGGAGCAAACGTAAGTGAAGCACATGCAAGGCATTCATATCTATTATTTTCCTGTACATGACGTGCGTAACGAATGCTCGCGGGTAAGCAGAGTGCAATTTAGTGCAGGAATAACTCCGAGAATAAAATATGGCGTGCATAAATTTACTTGCATTCGTTCAGTAAGCTTTACTACAGAAGCAAGTGAAGCAATTTTTGCGGGCTCTAAAGCAGCGCTGCTAGCATGCAAATGCCAGGGCTGCCGTCGTACGCAGAATCGTAAGAATTTTTCCATTTTAACTAAACGATACAACGATAGGCCTACCCTTGGCTGACCAGAGTGCTACCTGTAGTTATTTAGGCTTTCTGCAGAGCAACAAAACTTCGGTGTCCGATCTGGTTTATTTGTCACTGCCATGTTGACCATCAAAATAAAAATAATTCTTACTATTCATCAAAATGACATGCGCAGTATTTATTTATTAAAAAAAATAATAAATTCTGTATTTTTTCAACCCAACGTGTGAATATGCGTCTTTATATTGAGTTGTGCTATTTTCTTTCGTTTTCGGTAACATATACATATAAATCTCACGTAGTTATACAGCTATTGAAAGGCTTCTAAAGCATATAGTTTCTTTTAATATCTTCGACATGAGCGTTATAATATCAGTAAATACTCAATCGTAAGAAATGTAGATATTATTTTTCCAGCGCACACATCCAAGTTCTCAATGTCGGGACTTGGGTGCGTGCCACACTTATAGCGGTAAGGTGGTTCTACACCGCTATACGCTAAGTCAAATGCGATGAGGGATTTAGAAGAAAACTAATCTAGAGAGGCGCGTGTTTGGAGAGTGTATTTAAGTGTATGTATCCGTGAGTTGCACCTGTAGAATGAATACAATACATATAGAATACAATACATATTAAGATGAATACATATTAAGATGAAGTCAATATTAGGTACAATCAATATACAAGGAAATATTACAAGTTTGAGGAACAATCTAGGAGCTATTTAAGAGCTTACCCCAAACGTTGGAGGACAAGGCAGTAGTGCGGTTAGAGTTAACGGAACTTACGAAGAAAGAAAAAGTCAATTTAGAAGTAGTTCGGATGTTTACGAAAGGATTGATTTTATTAGAAAATTTGAAGATGTAACTACTTACAACTAAGATTAACATTGGATGTCCCTACGCACTCCTACCGACGATTCCCAGGCGTACCCAAAATAAATCAGTTGGTAATGGAAATAGTTTTTCTATCAAGTAATTAGAAAACGTTTGAGCAGAGACTGCTTATTTCAAGCGACGCTCGAAAGAGTTGGATGCATCCTGAAAGGTTTTGGTCACAACGGTTATGAAGATAGTTCCATAGAGATTTATAAATTTAATTTTGTTCCAAAAGTATAGGATCACTTGAAAAGATTATTCAGCATTACATAAGTTTTCTAGCGAATTTCACTTCCATTTTTTTCATTTTTATCATACGTGCACTCCAAAATCAAAATTTATTTGCGGATGCTTAAAGTCAGTACTCAGTAGTGTGATTATAAAATAATGGCTTCCCATAGTAATAAATAATACCGCATGAATATAAATGTTCATAAATGATCAAGCCAATAAAGTAGGCAATTCATAAGAGAAAAATTGAGAAATAACTAAAGAATGCTTAAGAGAGATTGGAGGTGACGTAGATTTCCAACGTCGTTCAACTTAATTTGGAAATGTAAGCATCCGATTAAAATAATTGATAAAAAAAAATTAATGAGAATGTCTTCAAAGTCAATTGTAGTTTGTATTAATTTATTGTAAATAATTGATTTCCCTTTCTAAACTATTGTAAATATTCGGTTTTCTTTTCTGCTCTGAAATTGATTTATGGCCTTCCTTAATGGTTTTCGTACCTATGGCGATAGACTGAAAATACTGACAGCCATTTTACTTCTTTTCGTTATGCTGATATCAGACCATCTCTTTAATTGTCAGTTTTTTATCGGTTCCCAATATAATGAGATACGCTGACATCAACGCCGTGCTGACATCAGACCATCTCTGTAAATATCAGGTCAGGCCATCAGCTCTGAGTATAACTGGATGCGCTCAGAGCGTGGAAGATGAGAGAGATACTATCATAGTAGGAATAGAACCCGGTTGTTTGTGGTGAGGAATCGTGTGAGGTGTTATTGCATTATTTATCTAAAAAATGATGCCGTGCTGAAAGTTGTGTCCCATAAAATTTTAGTAGCAACGAACATGGGAATCTGCCGCTTAAAAATCCGACCGGAAGTCAATTATTTTTTTAAATTATCTTTACCGTAACGCTTTTCCAATTAGTTCTCGAATAAAAATAAAATTGGTAACCTTTAAATTATTACTACTCGAAGGCGTGGAAATTGTTGAGTTACAAACGAAATTTCTCTACAGTCACGAGCGTTCTCTACAATTTCTTGAAAATTTGAAATTAATTAGTACTTCGAAAATTTGCATTCAAATTATCAGTCCTGTCCGTATACCAACGATTGTACCCTCTCTTCCCAATGTTTTTTTTTCACTCCGAATTACTTCAGGTTTTGTGGAGTTCATGACCAAGTCAAATAAAAAAAGGTACTGGCGCAGACCAAAAATAATTAGAAAAATGATTGGCTTCAAAATCATTCTTCGATAGGACATTTTTTTGTTTACTTCTACTTCAGTAAAATGTATTAAAATTGGAGATGACAATGAAACCATATAAGGGTTTTTCCCCAATTTTACCATAACGACATTTTTTCATGCGATTGATCAATAATGCATACGAAGTACGAAAAAAATTGTTCTAAATAATGTTCATCGAATTTTTAATTTTTATGCCCGACCATTAAAAGATTAACTTAGATAGTATATTCTCCTAGCACCTTACGGGCTAGGCAATAAGTCAAGCAGCTATCTCAATCAATCGCCTTTTATTGAAAAATCGGGTTCCAAAGGCCGGATCCCTTGTGAATCAAGTCACGAAAAGTAATAGAATCGGCAACAGGCCATGGGCCTATTTCTTCAGTGCCGACGCTTCTATTCTATTCTATTCTATTCTCATGCCCGACTATAAAATGATTTACTTAGAGAGTTCAATCTCCTGTTAAGCACGTGTTATTGAATAAAAACTTATATGAACTAAAATGAATAAAAATTCATTTTGGTCGAATAAAAACAAACGTGCCATTTCTTTCCGATCAAAGTAGCGATCAACTATGCTGCAACTTTTGCGTCACCACTATTAGCTTCACATGATGTAATTTCATGGGAATGCCTTTACCAGTAAATAAAAATTTTAAAAATACAGTCTTCGTTAAACAAATATAGATAAACGTAGCTTATTCGGTTGATTTAATTGTAGCATTGCTGCATTTCCAAGCAAGGAAAAACTGGACCAGTTGCTAGATCTCGTCCAGCGTAGCACATATGAAGGTTAACGATGGAGAGCAGTAGCCTGTAAAACTGCACTATAACAACGCCTAAAACCATGCACGTTCTACGAGGCGGCATCGTTGGAAGTGCTCAATAATGTCGGCTGCAAACCCGTTCACTCACAACCCTTACAGCGACAGCCATGCGTGCTCTACGAGGTGACATCGTTAAGAGTTATCCATACAGTCCGCTTATCGCTTGCACTGCTCAGTACGCTCAGATGCTAGAGTGCAATGAGCAGACAAAGCTGGCACCATCAGTGTTTGGCGCTCTTCACTCACAGACGGCACGCCGTATTCTAAAGTGACCTCTCGATCTTCGTGTATATCACAGTGGGACGGTGTCCTCTTCCGATAACAACTCGCATTCTAGAGTCATTGTCTCCGTTTTTAAATCACGTCAACTGCTTATCACTACATTTTCCATACCGCGTTAGAAGTGTGCCTTATACATGGTTTAAGCGATGTTAATTGGTGTGTTCCCTTTATACATATGGATTACGAACTTGAGATGAAATTTACAAAATTCAAAACCCGTGCAATAGCCCTTAACACTAATGTATGTTATGAGGTTTTATCATAGCAAAACTAGCGCCTTTCTCGTGTTAGGTAGTGTTTACAAAGAGGATTTTTCAGCCTTATTCGTAATGAGGTTTTCTTGATATGTCGCATTTCAATGATTCTTTATAGGCAATGCTCTTCTTTCTTCTATTTTTTCTCTTAGCATGGCATGCGTTTAATAACCTTCTTCTTGGATATTCGACGTGATCAAGGGTTTTCATCGTATTGAGAAGCCCGTTTTTTGCAAGTGATTTTCACTGACTTTATTGGGTCTAAACGATTTAATTGAAGAGATTTGGGTGTAGCTGGTGTTCAAGCCCTCCATGGACTGCGTGAAGATTCCTTATTGACACAAAAAGCGAGAAATCGCACAGGACATCATACTTGAAGACACTAAAGCATTAAATAATTTCCCGTTCTAATTTTCTTGAGATTTTTCTCGAGCCTAATCGTCTCCTCATTTCCCAGATAATGAATTAATGTGATTGACTTCTTGAGATTCATTAAACAAATTCTGAAAATATTTCAAAGTTTATCCAACTTGCATCGCCGCTAGAACATTGCGTTCCATAATGTTGAGTATTTTGTTGCCTGATCTATAAATACAGTGAGTAACAATATTCTCAAGCCTCACCATAAACTATGAATTATAACTATCAATAGTGAACAGGAATTAATTAATTGATTAAGAATTTTCCGAGAGGGATTACACGAGGCTCCAGCCATGAGGAGAAGAGGCTGGTGCTCCGCTAGCTGTTTCCTACTCATCGTGTCTGGCATGGCTTTCACTCGCTTCACGCGCCGCGTGTCCCACGTAAGCGAAACGTTTTCGTACTCTATCCAAGTATGATGTTAGTTAGTGCTTAAAAGTAAAATAAAACCACAATTATACGGAGAAAAATTAAATGAAGGCCAATGTGGATTCACTATTTTAAAATGTTTTTTTTTTATTTTTGGAATAAATAGTTTTTATTTCGACCACAATACACTACCTCTGGCGTCAACCGCTTGAGTAGAAGAAGTTTCTTTTGCTAATGTTCGAGTCAGTATTATTGTTTTTGCAGTCCAATACTGAACCTTTAAATTTTTCACTTTTATTGCATGTTGCCAAATATCCCTAATTTCAAACACATGATCAGAAAACATTACATTTTTCGCGATTTTAATAAATTTTTTAGTGTATTATTTCATTTTATTTTATTCATCTATTTATTTATTTTTCTTATTATATTCTTTTATTTGTTCATTCATTTATTTTTTTCACCTCATAAGGCTCCCGACACCTACACCCCTAACGAGTTGGGCGTGTGCACGGGCCGACGTTGGCCCGCGGACGTCCCCCCGCTGTACGTGATCACTCCGACGTACCGCCGAGCTGAGCAGATCCCTGAGCTCACCAGACTCGCCCAGACCCTCTTGCTGGTGGACAGCTTGGTCTGGATCGTCGTCGACGATGCCGACGAGCCCACGCCTGCAGTCGTCAATTACCTGCAGGAGCGACGTATATGTCACGTCTACTTAATAGGTAATCAATTATGTCTTCATTTAAGTAAAATACCTAATATTAATTATAAATTTAAATAAAATAAAACTGCACGCCTGCAGTCATCAATTAAATCCATCATAAAACTATTGATTTCGAAGCACCTACTTCTTCATTTTCATTTGACGATGAGATCTTATCATGCATGTTATCAAGTTGTTCAATTAAAAAAAATGAAATCCCGCATATAATTTCAGTAAAGTCCAGAGCCCGGCCTTCGATGTGAAATTATCACTCACTCTAACTGCTGCAGCTGATGAAGGATTTATCCGGAAAAATTTTTACTTTAGTTGTTAATGGGTGTTTAGATCTGAATCTAAATTCGTGTTTAGATTCAGATTTTTAGATATACCACTAGGCTCTAATTAAGTTAACCACGTTGACGAAACATTTTATTCACATCAAGTAAGAATTTGAGCATCGATTTGAATGACAAGATATATATGTATCATCATCAGCTGATATATTCAACGTTGGGGATCCTCAAACTAGAATTTGGCAATTTGGCTCACAATTTTTTTTCATTCAAATGAGTTCGCAGAAATTAAAATTACAACTAATTTCCGGGGCACACAATGAACAAACCTGTCCAGCATCTTGAATTTTTCAATTGATAAGGTATTCATATTAATTCAAACTCCATGTCCACCAATAAGATATAAACCAAAAACCTATAAGTTAACTCACTTATAAAAAAATTTGTTCAAATTAACGTGAACCTGCTGCATCATGTGAATAATCTTGTCACTAATTGTGCTCGATTAAATTTTCTACGAACAGATTCTTGTGTGGCACACAAGAACCAAGAAAAACGGCAGGGCCAAACCAGGGGACAAGAAGCTCGACTACTCGAACAGCAACATCGATGCGTTAATAACACAGATTTGGAGATAACATTTTATTCAATTTGGTAGCTTAAGCCAAGAGGTCAATGCGTGTACAGTCTCGTCTGACAACGTAAGGATTTTCTAGTCACCACACAAATGAATAAAAATTCGTAGAATGAATCGATAAATGATTTCCTACAGAAAAAACTACAGAATCTGAAACAAAACGTAGTTAAATAATGTCTCGAATCAAAATCGACAAAAACCTTTCGGATTTCAGGCATAGACACTTCTTGATGGATGACGCACGAGGAACGATAGGTGGTTACGTAATTTTGGTAAATTGTTTATAAGNAAACGAGGATTTATTCAATTTAATACTTTTTTCTGTGATTTAAACTACCATGGAATATCCGTTTGTTTATTCCATGCAGCAGCTCGGACCATGGCATAGAAAAACAGACAAAGCAATCCACTACCCCAGGCATATTTCTCCTAAGAAGCGTCCGTTACTGCCTGTATAGTACCAAACAGACAGCACTGAAGCAGGTAACAGCATCCCGTTTCGCCTTTTTTATCTTTTTTTTGTAAGCACCCGTTACGGTTTGCTTCTCAGGAAACCTGCACCCAAGAAGCGCACATAACTGTTTGCTTCTCAAGAAATAAGCACGCAAGAAGCGTTTATAACTGTTTGCTTCTCAAGAAACAGGCACGCAAGAAGCGCACATAACTGTTTGCTTCTCAAGAAACAGGCACGCAAGAAGCGCACATAACTGTTTGCTTCTCAAGAAAAAGGCACGCAAGAAGCGTACATAACTGTTTGCTTCTCAAAAAACAGGCACACAAAAAGATAGTTATCTCTTTAATTGATATTAAACAATCAATTACCTCTTAAGAAACATGTGCACACAAAGCATCCATAACCGTTGGCTACTGAAGAAACAAGCGCAGAAGAGGCGCCCTGGGATCGTTTCCACGGAGAAGCACGCCGAGGAGAGAGGATCACGCTGTGCCGTAAAAGCTTCAACTTCACAAGAGCCAAACTTTCTGCCGCTATCAAAGAAACAAACTTCATGCGACTCTTCGAAGTCTCCTAGAAATTGACAGTTGCCCAATTTCGTCTGCGCTTGAAGATGAAAATTGGCACCTGTCACTCGCGAGAATTCTTGACATTTGGAGGAAATGATGAAATGGGAAATTTAGGCCAATAGACAAATTCTGAAATGGAGCAAGTTAATTTTTTTAGCGCTTCAAAATGACGAAACTGATGGCGAAAACGCTGTTAATCATGATTAGTGTGTCTTTTGTTGTTAGTGCCCTTTAATCGTCCGTCATTTATCATCAGTTAATTGAGATAAAATTTAGTAAACATATAGATCCTCCACTGTAAATCGGATCATAGGGGAAAAATGCTACAATCCTCTTTCTTAAATAACAGAGCAAGCGTAAGTGAAGCACAACCAAGACATTCATATCCATTATTTTCCGGCGTCGGACGTGCCTAACGAATGCTCGCGGGTGAGCAGAGTGCAATTTAGAGCAGGAATAACTCCGCGAATAAAATATGGCGTGCATAACTTTACTTGCATTCGTTCAGTTAGCTGCCATGTTGACTACCAAAATAATTCTTACTATTAATCAAAATGACATGCGCAGTATTTATTTATTAATAGAACCAGTACATTCTGTATTTTTTCAACCCAACGTGTGAAAATGCGTCTTTAAATTGAGTTGTGCTATTTTCTTCGTCTTCGGTAACTTGTACATATAAATCTCACGTAGTTATGCAGTTATTGAAAGGCTTCTAAAGCATATAGTTTCTTTTAATATCTTTGACATGAGCGTTTTAATACCGGTAGATACTTAATCGTAAGAAATGTAGATATTATTATTCCAGCAGTACCAGCACACACATCCAAGTTCTCAATGTCGGGTGCGTGCTATCATCCTACCCACGATTCCCAAGCGTACCCAAAATAAGTCAGTTGGTAATAAAAATAGTTTTTCTATTAAGTAATTAGAAAACGTTCGAGCAGAGACTGCTTACTTCAAGTGACGCTCCAAAGAGTTGGATGCATCCTGCAAGGTTTTGGTCAGTTGAAGATAGTTCTGTAGAGACGTATAAATTTAATTTTGTTTCAAAAGTATGGGATCACTTGAAAAGATTATTCAACTATACTGTCTATACATAACATAACAATACAATGATCAAGCCTAAAAATAAGGCAATTCATCAAAGAAAAATTGAGAAATAACGAAACAATGCTTAAAAGAGATTAGAGGTGACGTAGATTTCCAACGTCGTTCAACTTAATTTAAATGTAAGCATCCGATTAAAACAATTGATCCAAAAAATAATTATTGAGAATGTCTTCGAACTCAATTGTAGTTTGTAGTAATTTATTGTAAATAATCTATTTTCCTTTCTAAACTATTGTAAATAATCGGTTTTCCTTTCTGCTCTGAAATTGATTTATTGCCATCCTTAATGGTTTTCGTACCTATGGCAATAGACTGGAAAAACTGACAGCCATATTACTTGTTTTCGTTATGCTGAAATCAGACCATCTCTTTAATTGCCTGTTTTTTATCGGTTCCCAATATAATGAGATACGCTGACATCAACGCCGTGCTGACATCAGACCATCATCTCTGTAAATATCAGGTAAGACCATCAGCTCCGAGTATAACGGGATGCGCTGAGAGGGTGGAAGATGAGAGAGATACTAGGAATAGAAGTCGGATTGTTTGGGGAGAGGAATCGTGTGAGGTGTTATTGCATTATTTATTTAAAAAAATGATGCCGTGCTGAAAGTTGTGTCCCAAAAATTTTAGTAGCAACGAACATGGGAACCTGCCGCTTAAAAATTCGACCGGAAGTCAATTATTTTTTTTTTAATTATCTTTACCGTAACGCTTTTCCAATTAGTTCTCGAGTAAAAATAAAATTGGTAACCTTCAAATTATTACTACTCGAAGACGTTGAAATTGTTGAGTTACAAACGAGCTTTCTCTACAGTCACGAGCGTTCTCTTCAATTTCTTGAAAATTTGAAATTAATTAGTACTTCGAAAATTTGCATTCAAATTATCAATCCTGTCCGTATACGAACGGTTGTACCATCTCTTTCCAATGTTTTTTTTCCACTCCGAATTACTTCAGGTTTTGTGGAGTTCATGACCAAGTCAAATAAAAATAAAAATTTCCAACATCGACTGCCATATGAAAAAATATCTATTGTCATTTCTCGGATACAGGAGAAAAACTGTGTAAAGAATAAAAATATAATAAATATGAAATCTGCATGTAACACATTTGAACGAAGACAGCAAACTATAGCATAAATCAAAAAGCTAGTGTGATACTGAATGTTGTTGCCACTGTTTAGACTATAAGAAGCCGTAAAATCAACAATAAAGCTTTTGATTACCAATGAAATGGCCAATTTCATAGAACTCAACATAATATTTGTTGAAAACTCTCGCTGTGAATGTCAAGAGACTTGATAATGACTTTACGTCCGAAGCCGGAGTTCACACTAAAAAATCGTCTAATCCTCATTTTCTTGCGCAAAACTCAGAGATCTAAGTCATGCAGGTAACGGTGTCTTTCCTCAATAATGTTTCACTATTGCTGAGGAAATGCAGGCTGAAATCAAGCAGTTGTTCAAAAAATGGTTCCATAATGTTTTGCCCACTGGGATTTGGAGCGGTATAATTTAATAAAAATTATACGTTAATACTCTCGGACCAATACATTCATGGCAACCGATGATCTTTAATCTGGTTCCAAAAACGAAGTTTGCAATTCGCATTGCTGTTTTTAAAACCTGTTGAATCTGCTACTACCATCAAAAATGCATGCACCATGTGAAGCCTGGTCATAGCTGATATGATGTTTGTTTCATTGGACCAAGCATTGGTGTTGATATACTCCCTCATCCCTTGACGACAAACTTGGCATCAAGGCAATGTGATTTAAGAAAAACCTGAATCAGAGCTTAATTTGTCAGGGAGAGTTGTTTGCGAGAGCAGAACTGAGTTCTTATAAGCTGGTTCCCACAAGTCAGTGCTGGGCACAGAAGGCAAAACGTATATCATTCAGTCAGGAATGACCTAAAGCGAAATGACGTTTCGTCAATCATTGCCAATGTTCATCTTCATAGGTACCATAATCTTGGTAAGCGTCAACAGTATAATTCTGTGATAGTACGAAAACGAACATCGTCAGACTACACCGTGTTGCTAAGTGTTCATGTTCTTATTTTTTTTTAAATAAACATGGCTAACGTCCAGCATTTAGCCTGATTTCACATGGTTTATGAGCTTCAGCTAATTGGTTATCTCGCATCGGAAGCCAGGAATAAACCTCTTGAACCAAGTGGAGTAAACAAAGCATTGTTCTCCACCAGCACGGGAATCTACATTTCGTACGGCCGGCCATCTGAAGCATACTAAAGTGACTTCGTAAGCATCTTAAAGTGACTTAGTGATAAGGAAGGACAAGGTAATAACAGCGATTAGAACACTCGTACATGAGCTCGTTTTTATGGGACGTTGACCATTCACTGTAGAGAGACCGATAAATGTAAGAAATCCTACTTTACGAACGTGAAAGCCAATAAGTTTTCCGATTCTGACGAACACAGAAACACATGAAAAGATCCTCTGAGTTGCAGGTTAATGGCAAATTGTGGCTTTCGATCTTTATCCTAAGGTTGGTTTCTTCTTTAAAATAACATTGATTGTTCACTCGGCGGCCGCTTTTGGACGTGATACTTTTCAAAGTTTGTGTGTGTCATTGTTTGAGGTCTGGAACCGTTAATTAAACTGCTTTTACACCAGCCGCCCCGTAACCCCAGGTATCGACCACATTCGTACCATAAATCCCCTTTGTAGTTCGCGACTTCTACCTCGTAAGGTTCTGAACTGAGCAGGCGTACTGCTTAAATTTTAAAATAGACTACGATCTTAAATATGGACTCCTAACATATTAACAAATGCAGGTAATTGAAATATTCAAACTCTCTTTTGGTAACTAATACTTAAACATGCAACTCACTCAGACAAATCGTTAGTTTGTTTCAACTTTTTACAATATTGTGGCCGAGTAAATAACAGCCGGCAATTTAATCCCGGAAATTGTTATTTATATTCAGTAGTAAAAGGCGCACGTGTTGTACATATGCAGCTGTAAAGGCTCTGATAGATGCAGTAAATGAAATAGGTTTTCAACCCAAGCCGAGATATTTGGTGATTCTACACCTCCGCATGCAGTGACTAATAATTTCAGATATTCGTATGTGGGTAATTAGGTAATTAACCTAGAATCCTGAATCCACCAATCCTGAAAAATATGTGAATTTTATGACTGCGGAGTGGTTGTAATGATTTCAGGTACGGGGTTAGGTTGTTATTTCAACTCGGTAATTCACCAGTAAGTGTGGCAACCGACATTGGGTCTTGACCAAACTCAAAAAATTAGTTAATTTTTAGATTTTCAGGGGCTGCAAAAATTTGAAGACTGTACGTTCAGTCATTTTTTAATCTGGTAATTCACTAATAACTGCCGGAAACGAAATTGGATCTACACTAAACTTGAGTTGAGTTTTACTATATTATTACAACCACTTTCCTAACCTAACAGCTAACACTATAAAACGGCAAAAATGATGTTCAAATTTCACAGATTATCAGTTCAGCTTTTACTTAAATGGAAAAATATTATTAACTCGATATATTCAAATTTGAAATTCTCCAAAACCTAGGAATTTATTCATCATAAAACGGAAAAAAATCCTGTTCAAATTTCACTATTGTCAGTTCAGCTGTCATTAAAACTAAATCTAAACCAAAACCTAAACATAAATCCAACTAAACCCAACCCAAGGCTTGAAAGAAAAGAAATTGCTGCTATGAGTCTTTTCTTTTTTAACAGTCTGCTATTAGAGAGCTTACAGAGACAATGACTCACTTAGACAGTGTGGAATTCTAGAGGGAAATTATATTAACCAGGACACTCAGGACAGATAACATATTTTAAAGCACTAAACAGGACCTGAAAGCTTGGAAAGGTCAGGAACATCCCACTTTCAGTA